TTCTTCGCGAAGAGCGAAGATCCGGCCACTACGTATGATTCCCTTAGTCGTGAAGTGGTGGCCCTTGAAGCCAAGTCAGCATATGTGTCTACCTTCTGGCGCAAAGACTTGGATAAGGGAAAGCAATGGAAGGGCCGCACTATCTCTGGGCAAGTGAAGACTAAGGATAGCCTTGTCCTGACTTTAGACGAGGGTAGTGTGGACATTCATGAATGTATGAAGGCCACGAAGTGGGAGAGGCAGGATTCGAACCTACGTAGAAATATAACCTTCAACAGATTTACAGTCTGTCGCTTTTAACCACTCGGCCACTCTCCCGAAGAAGAGATACCCTACGATCAGATTGAGTGGGGGTTAGAGGAGGATGACAGCGGTATGGGACAGGGGAGGACTTACGCTGCTGTCGCGGCTGGAGGGAGACCGCAAGGAGGAGGACGAGGCCAGGGCCAAGGGGGTCGGGCCTCAAGGAGCCGTTTCCAGGGCGATCAGGGGGTTGGCGGTAGAGGAGGAAACCGCCAAGCGGGAGGCAGGGGTCAAGGTCCCCCGCAAAACCGTCCTAGGAATAGATCTCCCTATAGGGTAGGAGGATGGCACCCAGGGCTACCTCAGGGTAGGCCTTGGGAATCTTTGGGTCTGGACCAGGCTTTATGGCAACAACGATTGGACCGGGGCCGGTGCATTTTCTACGGTGACCCGGGCCACATCATCAAATATTGTCCTAAGTATCGAGAGACCCGAACGGCTGCCCAAGGGCCAAAAGGCAGCCGCCGGTAGGGGTAGCAACTGCCCCTACCACTAGGCCATGTGGGGAACATAGCGCTAGCCGGCAGGAGACTCCCACACCACATGTGCCTATGGCAGAGGTTGCAGGCCGGTGTCTAGACAGCTGTCCCAAAACTGCTTGTGTTAGTTTCGCTAGACACCTCCCTCACAGGCGTGGCCGAAGAGTTGAAGGAGAGGAGGCCCGCCTGGGCCAAGATGAAGAAGGAGAATAAAGGGCAGCTGATTTTATTAGATGCAGAGATTTTTAGAAGTAGAGTAGGGGCCCTAGTAGACTCAGGGGCCACCCGCAGCTATATTAGTAAGAAAGCGCTGCAGAAGTTGAGGCTGGGACTTGAAGTCCAGAAACTGACAGACCCCATAGTTAGTATCCTTGCGGACAATCGTACCATAGTTGTAGAGGATTACGTAGAGGAAGTCCAGGCGTATTTCCGCCTAGAGAAAGATGGGAAGGTGGAGAAGGTCCTCCACTCCCTGACTCTCCTCGTAGAGCACAGCCTCCCGTTTGATATAGTGCTGGGAATGGATAGGGGAGAGGCAGCCGGGGCAACGCTCCATCTGAAGGAGCACGAGTGTAGACTCCCAAGTTCTGCAAGCGGGGCTAAGACTGCCCGCCTGTTCCATGTGTCGAGAGTAGATAATTCCTTGGCACATTGCTACCTTAGTGCCCCTGCGTTCGCCAGATTGGTGAAGAAGGAGAAATTAGAGGAACAGGTCTTTGTTGCCTATGTTAGGCCACTCACTGAGCCTAAGGAAGAGAAGCCCGTAGACCCTGCCATTGCCAAATTGCTGGAAGAGTTTAAGGATTTGACCGAGCCGCCGACAGGCACGGTGCCGCGGCCCATCCAGCACCGTATTGAGATAGAGCCTGGCAGCAGAACTCCTAAGGGTGCTGTGTATAGGATGTCCCCACGGGAGTTAGAGGAGCTACGGAAGCAGTTGGACGAGCTCCTTGAAAAGGGTTGGATTAGGCCCAATTCGTCTCCTTTTGGAGCCCCTGTTCTCTTTGTCCCTAAGAAAGAGGGAGAGTTGAGGATGTGTATAGACTATAGAGGTCTGAATGCCATTACCGTGAAGAATGCTGAGCCACTGCCTAGGATAGACGATCTTTTAGATCGAGTGCAGTGGGCGAAGTATTTCTCCAAGATAGATTTGAAGTCCGGATATCATCAGATAGAGGTCCATCCTGACGATCAGTACAAGACGGCCTTCCGGACTAGATATGGGCACTACGAGTTCATAGTGATGCCCTTTGGACTAACAATGCGCCAGCTACGTTCCAGCGCTGTATGCACGATTTGTTTAGGCCATGGTTAGACAGATTTGTTGTAGTTTATCTAGATGACATTTTAGTGTTTAGTAGGACCCTCGAAGAGCATCAGGGTCATCTCAGGCAGGTCTTGGAGAAGCTGAGGGAAGCTAACTTCAAGATCAATGCAAAAAAGTGCGATTGGGCAAAGACCCAAGTTCTGTACCTAGGCCACGTCTTAGACGGAGACGGCGTTAAGCCAGAAGATAGCAAGATCGCAGCGATTAGAGATTGGCCCACGCCACGTACGCTGACAGAGTTGCGTTCGTTCCTGGGCCTAGCTAATTACTATAGGAAGTTCGTGATGAACTTCTCCACCATCGCTGCGCCCCTTCGCAGATTGCTGAGAAAGGAGACCATCTGGAAGTGGGATAAGGACTGCACGTCTGCCATGAAGAAGTTGAAGCAGGCATTGATAGAGTATCCAGTCCTTAAAGTCGCTGACCCGTCCTTACCCTTTGTCGTCACAACCGATGCGAGTCAATACGGCATAGGCGCAGTGTTGCAGCAAGATGATGGCAATGGATATAGACCCGTAGAGTTCATGTCCACCAGAATGCCTTCAGAGAAGGTCGCGACATCTACCTATGAAAGGGAACTCTACGCTCTCAGGCAAGCCTTAGACCACTGGAAACACTACTTGCTTGGGAGGCACTTCAAAGTCTATTCTGACCATGAAACGTTACGATGGTTAAAGACGCAGGCCAAGATGACACCTAAGCTTACTAGGTGGGCCGCCGAGATAGATCAGTACGACTTCGAGCTCAAGCCTGTCAAGGGGAAGTACAACGTAGTTGCGGATGCTCTGAGTAGGAGGGCATATTACTTCGGGGCGATAGTGCATTACCTCGATATAGGGAAGGATCTGCAGAGGGAAGCCTACGCGCAGGACCCTATCTGTAGTGAGCTCCTCACGCGAGTTAAGGAGGCCCCAGAGACCAAGCCGAACTACCGCACTACGGAAGGGTTACTTTTCGAGAAGACTAATGTCTTTGACCGGTTGTGTATCCCCAATAGTGAAGAGATCCGCAATTTGATCTTGGGAGAATGCCATGACACAGAGGGTCATTTTGGTTGGCAGAAGACTTTAGCCAATCTGATGCGCGTGTATACCTGGCCAGGGATGAAGAATGACTGCGTAGAGTATGTCCGCAGTTGCAAAGTTTGCCAGCGTAATAAGACCCGTACGCGCGCCCCGTTGGGTCTTCTCAAACCCTTACCCATTCCGGACCAACCGGGAGACTCAGTGTCCATAGACTTCATGGACACTCAAGTCAAGAGCGGGCATGGCAAGAGCCAAGTCATGGTCATAGTAGACCGATTTAGTAAGTACGTAGTCTTTGTTCCTTTGCCTTCAGAGGCACGTACTGATTTAGTCATACAGAGATTTTTTGACTGTTGGGTTAGTGAGAATGGAATCCCGCTGTCAATAGTTAGCGATAGAGATAGTCGCTTTACCAGCCAGAACTGGCAAGAGCTCATGGGAGTGTATGGATCTAAGTTGTTGATGTCATCTGGCTGTCATCCAGAGACTAACGGTCAGACAGAGCAAATGAACAAGATCCTCCAGCAAGTTCTGCGCATGTACATTAGGCCAGATCAGATTAACTGGGATGAGATGTTACCTAAGGTAGCTAGTGCATATAATAACAGCRTGCATCTGTCCACCTGCCGCACTCCCAACGAACTGCACAAGTCCTTTAGGCCCCGTAGACCATTCGAAGGACTTAGCCGGGATCAGATTCACAAATTGCCACCCGGGACCAGCGAGTTAGCTGTGCAACACGAGAAAGAACTAGCTACTGTAGTAGAGAACCTCAGAAAGGCCCAACACAGAATGATAGAGCAAGCCAATAAGCATCGTCACCCCTCACAGCTTCGAGTAGGGGACTTAGTCTGGGTCAGTTCTAAAGAGTTTGCACCTGAGGAGAACATCTCGCGTAAGTTACTGCCCACCTATAGAGGACCGTGGCCAGTCTTAGAAGTCAAAGGCGGCGAAGATGGACCGTCCTATACCATAGAACTCCCAGCACACCTCCACACGTATCCAGTTTTCCACGCATCAAAGTTGTTACCGTGTCAAACAAGTGATCAGTTTCCATCCCGCAGGTCCATGATCCCACCGGATATGGATGGAAGATACGACATTGATGGAATAGTGGCTGAAGATGTATTCAGGACAAGAGGTAGGGGTCGTCCACAGAAACAGTACAAGGTTCACTTTAGTTATCAAGAACCGGAGGACGACCGCTGGTTTACAAGGTGTGAACTTCTAGAGACAGCTCCTGATATAGTCCGAGCCTACGAGAGACAGTAGAGGGGTAAAGGTCCTGCCTTGGACTGAAATTTTCTCGGAGGACCTCGAATTTAGGCCGGCGGGAGTGAAACGGTTTTCACCTTTTAGCAGTGGTGGATGCAGTACCCAGGGTTCGATCCCTAGACCTCACCCTACCCATGTACAGTATCTGCGTAGACCCCGAGAATTGAACCTGTGACCTGTGTATTCGTAGGCAGCGTTGGTAGGCCTGTCGTAGGTCCATAGGCAGCAGGGGTTCGATCTGTAGGTCTATAGCGTAGGAGTCTTAGTGAGTTCCGGAAGCTTAGCTGTAGACCTTCTAGAAGGTAGGCAAGTGGGCAAGTGGTCAAGTGGTGAGGCAAGTGGTGGACTAAACCGCGGTGCAACAACAGTACAGCGTCGGTAGGATAGCGGTGAGTCCACAGTCAGTCAGCGGAAGGTCCAGTCAGTCCCAGTCCGGTCCAGCAAGTACCACAAGGGGA